CGGGCCCGGCCCCGGCGGAGTGGTGGAGCGGGGCTGGAGTGCCCTCACCCCGGGCGGGCGTGGGGCGACGGGACTGTGGTGCGGGGCGGCAGAGCCATTCCCCCCGAGGTGACCGGGAGTCGCGGGCGGGACAGTCGCTCAGGGCTGCTGCGCGGTCGCTGTCACCATAGGGTCTGGTCGCTTAAAACGCAGGACACAACCGTGTGTAAAGCTTTATTGCTTTTAAGTAAGATTTTTACGAAAACAGGGCTCGGGTAGGAAGGTGGTGGAAGGGCACTTGGAGCCTTTTCTTACTAGCAACTGCTTTTTCCTTGTGCCTCGGGTCCCTGCATGCCGCTTGGGCCTGGGAAGGCACGGGGCGAGTCTCCCGGCGACCAGTTTGCACGTTAATTCACTCTGCCTTCTGGAGGCTACATTTGAGTTCCCAGATCCCTCTTTCCCTGCCAGCTAGGTGATTGCCAAGACGTTGTGTATCCCTGGCAGCAGAGAAGCATGCAAACGTTTTGATCTTGTGGTTTCTGATACCTTGGGCTAGAGAATAGTGAAAATGTAGTGAACTGATATATATCTGCCATCCATTAAAGCCACCTTCATTCTTCTCCTTTGTTTCTGAACCTAGAAACAAGAAAATGCTACTGTTGTAGAGTTTCAGGTAAACTGTCATACCTTGTTTGGCATAATGGAAAACAGCATTTTTTTCAAATGTGCAGTCATTGTTTTGTGTCTACGGTGCTGTCTCTATTAAGCAATTTTTGAGGTCTGACCATACTTATCAGCTCATTTGTTTTTTAGATAACCAGTGTTCTGTTGCTTTTTTGTTTTTGTTTTGGTAACACACTTCCTACTCTTATTTTCTACCTGGCCTACAAGAAATCCTAAAGGAAGAAGTGAATGAAAATATAGATGAACCAGGTTACCACAGTAGTGGATTTGAAGTCAGTGAAGCAACTATTCCTCGCTGCAGATATATATGCTTACTTTATCCTCTCTAATTGGCTTACCTTAAGACAGTCACCCTGAGTTTAGATTACTTAGCCTGTGTATACACAGTGATACTCATTGAATAAAGTGGAAATTTCCTTGCCACACTCTAGTTCCAATCTATGTTTCCATTCCAATATTGCATATTTCCCCGTAGCACCTTTTCTGCCTCAATTTTCTTTCTCTCTCAGCCCACTGTGATTCAGACCTGTTTTACTTTCCCCTGAAATTGTTCAAGCAGATTTCCTAATTGCCAAATTCATTTTTCTTTGGCATCTGACTCTGCCTACTCTCTTCTCAAAGTTTTTGTAATGCTGCTGCCATAATTCTGACTTCCTTTCCAATATTCTTGCTGACTCTTCTTCTTTTCTTCGCCTTTAAATGCTAGTGATTCTGGCTTTGCCCCTCTTCTCATTCACAGTAGTAGTCCTTAACTTTTCTAGGTTACGGTCCCCTCTAAGAATCTTTATGGAAGCTAAAGATCCTCTTTCTAGAAAAATACACATAGGCATTAAAATAATCGCCTACAATTTGGATGTACAGACCTCAGGATAAGAACTCTTTCCCATACACTGTTTGGTCAGTGATCTCATCCATTCCTTTTTTCAGCAGTTCCCATGATGCTAATGATTCCTCAGACTGGATCTCCAGCCTGTAGCCCCAGTGCAGGGCTCCCACATGGGAGCCATTGTGAATGGCAGTCCTTGGAGTTGCACTCTGCATAGCTAGTGTGGCCGTCGACGGCCCGCATGCAGCTTTAACCTCAGTGCCTGGCAGCAACCTCACACCCAGCACATCTAATGAACTCCTTGTCCTTTGTCCCAACCTGCTCACCTTCCTTCCTTACCTTAGTGAGTAGTACTGTCCATCTAGTTACCCAAACCCGCAATCTGGAAGCTGGCAACAGTTTCTCCTTTTAACACCTTGACCTTGACCTTGATCTCATTTCCGTTGCCGTAACGCAACTGCCTCACTCATGACCTCCTTCCCTTCCTCACTGCTGCCTCCTGGACTTGGGTCCTCATTTATCTCCTTGGTTACTCTCGGAAGGAGCATTTCTCTTTTGGACCACTGCAGTCAGCTCTCAGCTGATCTCTGCTTCTTCAATATTCCAATCCTGCCACCATCTCAAAGCTGCCATAGTGATTTTTCTGATCATGTAACTTTTAAAAAGCATTTTAATAATTTGTATGAAGACCCAGCTTTTTAATATAACAAATCATGATCTTCCATGATCTGACTGCTCCTTACTTTTTGTTTCACCCTTAGCCAAGCCTTGCTTTGCTCCCTTTGCTTCAGCCTTATCAAACCACTTGCTGTTCCTGGCATAAGTGAATTCCCAGATCCCTCTTTCCCTATCAACCACACAATTACTAAGACATTATTGTGTATCCCTGGCAACAGAGAAGCACACAAATGTTTTGATCTTGTGGTTTCTGATACCTTGGGCTAGAGAATGTAGTGAAATGTAGTGAACTGATGTATATCTGCCATTTTTTTTTTTTTGAGTTGGAGTCTCACTCTGTCACCCAGACTGGAATGCAGTAGCCACTCCCGGCCACCGCAGCCTCGACCTGCTGGGCTCCGGCAATTCTTCTGCCTCAGCCTTCCAAGTAGCTGGAACTACAGGCGCGCTACCACGCCCAGCTAATTTTTGATTTATTGTGGAGATGAGGTCTCACCAAGTTGCCCAGGCGGGTCTCGCACCTGTGGGCTCAGGCAATTCACTCAACTTGGCCTCCCAAAGTGCTGGGATTACAGGCTGAGCCACCGAGCCTGGCGCATCTGCCATTTTTTATAGCAAGCTTCATTCTTCTCCTTTGTTTCTGAGCCTAGAAACAGGAAAATGCTACTGTTGTAGGGTTCCCAGTTGTCATACCTTGCTGGCATAATGGAAAGCAGCGTATTTTCCAAAGAGCATACCTCAATGCACGCCAGGAACAGCAAGGGATTTGACAAGGCTGGCGCAAAGCTTTGATACAGGCCATGCCTCTGTAGCTGTGCTGATGACGCTCTGCTGCCTAGAGTGTCCTCCTGCCTGTTACTCATCTTCCAGGATGAGACCCGCCCAAGTCCCAGCACGGGGTCATCCTCTCGAAAACCCTTCGCTGCCTCCTTTCCCACTTATCTGTACTATCCTGTCCCATGAAAAATAGCTACTCCCGCCTCTCTACTTTGTACCCATATCAGCATTTTAGGCATCAGTCGATCTTATAGATATATAGATTTATATTACACACACACACACACACACACACACACACACACACACACACACACGTCTGGTTCTCTCAGATGGCAGAATCCTTGAGAACAAGGACATCGTCATTTTAACATTCCTCGCCAATGCCTTACACTTAACTGGTGTTCAGATTGTTTGAGTAGTCACTATTTGATTTTTGAATAAGTTGGTTACTTGTTACTAAAGAGACTTTTTTTTTTTTTTTTTGGTTAGGACTTTGAACAAGTTTTCTGTGCATGTATTTGAATTTGTTGTTCTGTGTAAGCTTGCTTTTCTTAAAACAATATTCCCCAGAAGTAAATTTCTCAAGAAGTAAATTTACACAGATTGTTCGTTCTCTGTTGATTCACTATCTTACAAGAAAGTGCACAGCACCAGGTTGTCACACGTTGCTCAAGAACAGTGAACACAATCCGTTTTCCTCAACAGGGCCCCACTGGGGATTTTCCTGAAGAGCCTCCATTTTTCTTTAACCTTCATGTGTGTCTCATCTCCTTGACTACATTAAAAACTCACTACCGTTAGGATTGGATCTTTAACTGTTTTTTCTTGCCCAGTGATTTTTTTCTTCTAGGTACTCAATATGTTGAATAAATGATTTTAGCATATCACATAAAAATTGTTTGCAGGTTAGGATGCTCTTGCACTTATATATATCTAGAAAGCATTTATCTTAGCTTAAATATCGGGGAAAAAACTAAAGTTAGCCTCTACTGTTTTACAGTATCTGTGCAGAATGTCATCAGATGAGAAATATTCACGTCCAGTTGTGCAAAATGAATCCAATCAAGGCAGTTCTGTCTCTTCAGATCTTCAGGTAGGAAGAAATGTCTAAATTTGTGATGACTTTTTAATTGTAACCAAGTGATAAAATAAGGGAAAAATAGAAATATGTTTTTCATTTATTCCATTTACAAGGAAGTTTTTCAACTTACAATAATGTCAAACTTTGGAAATTATTTTACAGATTTTGGGAAGTACTTCACTTTGTTTTAACCTTTCAAAAAATAGTCATGAATTCTTCAAGCACTCTTTATACAAAGGCTTCAAACAACAGTGAGAGGAAAAGCTACCTCTCATGAATGCTACTTTCACTCTTAATGCAAATTAGTATAATAGTAAACTATTCAGAGTTCTAGAACTCAACATTCCCTTGTATTCTGCTTGCTGAGGTTTGGTCTCTGTTGCTACAACATTCAGAACAATCTGGTGTCCAGGACCTGGATACTAACAGATAAAATGGATCAGTGGTATGATGTTCACATGAAATGTTTTAAATTTCTCTTCTTTCTAAATGTTTTATCAGAAATATGGATTCAGATTTTAAGTGAGAGAATAATAGCATGGTATATCTTAAGTTTTATAGTTATGTCACTTAAGAGGGGAAAGCTGGACATTGTGTTTATGCCTAAGAAGAGTAAATTATTGACACTGTGTAGTAGGAGAAAAGCTCTAGGAAAATAGTTTATGAAACAGATGTGTTCCTTTAATTGAAATTATGAATTTTGACATCATAAAGTTACTGGAAAAACATCTGAATACTAAAGTAGTCTGGAATTGTGACATAAAAGTTTCACTCTAGCCTTCCCTGTTGATGACACCTCTTCCACGTAGTGCTGTCTTTTTGGTGACAGTACTTTCCTGCACCGTTCATCTCTGCCTTATCCAAATCCCAAGAAAGAATTGGTTAACTCATTTATACTAAAATGTAAATATCTTGTAAGTCTTAAATTGTCATTTTGTCCAGAGACAAAGCTTCAAATCAAAAGAGTAAATCTCTAGAGTGTAATTTTAAGAAAGACGGGGGGAAAACCTTCGAGACCTACCAGAAGTGATTTTCCTTCTTCTAATGTCAGCCTGAGAGTCTGTTTGTAAGCCTCCACTTGTGACCCTACTAGTTCTTGGGCTACAGTCAAAAGCCTGCCCATTTTCCCTACGGATACAGTGTTGTTATTTTGTGTTGCACTACAGGAAACATTTCAAAATTCAAAGGCAATCTGAAAATAACAAAATAGACATACATTTTTACATGTGTGGTAAATATGTAAATCCAAACATTTACTACAAAAGGGCCTCATAGGTCAATATTCCTCTTAAGAGATTTTTGTTACTTTCTCAGTTATGCCGATACTTTATGCACCAGGAGATCGTAAATGCTGAGGGATGGGCGGCATCCGTGGTGCTTCTCTACTGGTAACCTCTTCTGATGAGCACGAAACCCAGCCAAGTTGCCCTAACTATATAATGGTCGAGGGATAGGTGGAGCTATATTCCAGCTATCCCTCACCATATCAATTCACCTATTGGTGGGGAGGGGGGACAAAATTACAAGTTTTGGTTGTTACACTAGGATTCTCAGGTATCTTAAGATAGTTAAGAAAGGCAAAACTAGCCAGGCTCAGTGGCTCAGCCTGTAATCCCGCGCCTTTGGAGGCTGAGGTGAGTGGATTGCCTGAGCCTGTGGGTTCGAGACCCGCCTGGGCAGGCGAGACCTCATCTCTACAAAAAATCAGCCAGGCGTGGTAGTGCGCACCTGTAATTCTGGCTACTCGGAAGGCTGAGGCAGAAGGATCGCCAGAGCCCAGCAGGTCGAGGCTGTGGTGGCCGGGAGCAGCCACTGCACTCCAGTGTGGGCGACAGAGTGAGACTTCAACTCAAAAAAAAAAAAAAAAAAAGAATGGCAAAATTATTTATTTTGATTCTTAATTTTGGAATAACCCATTTGGCCGGTATCTACACATATGGAACTATAAAATAGTCATTTAAATAACTGATTTTTAGGCCGGGCTCAGTGGCTCAGCCTGTGATCCCAGCACCTTGGGAGGCCAAGACAAGTGGATTGCCTGAGCCTGCAGGTTCGAGAACCATCCAGGCTACTTGGCAACACCTTGGCTCTACAATAAATCAAAAATTAGCTGGGCATGGCACGTGCCCGTATTTCCAGCTACTTAGGAGGCTGAGGCAGAAGGATCGTTGGACCCCAGCAGGTTGACGCTGGGGTGGCTGTGAGTGTGCCACTGCACTCCAGCCTGGCCAACGGAGTGAGACTCCAACTATAAATAAATAAATAAGTAACCGATTTTTAAAATGTTTTTAAAATAAGTTAGAATATATGACCATTGAATACTATTAATTGACCTTCCATATGACCTTGCAATCCCCCTCCTGGGAATATACCCTGAAGAACACAAATCACTCTATAAAAAAGATACCTGCACACGTATGTTTATCGCAGCATTGTTCACAATAGCAAGAACCTGGAAACAACCATGCTGCCCATCAAAAGAGGACTGGATTAAAAAAATGTGGTACATATACACGATGGACTACTATGCAGCCATAAAAAAGAACAAAATCATGAATTTTGCTGCAACCTGGATGGAACTAGAGTCTATAACACTGAGTGACCTCTCACAGAAACAAAGATCCGAGTATCACATGTTCTCACTCATATAATGGACCTTGAACATCCAATGCAATACTGTACGAAAATGACTGACGGTACTGGGAAACTATGGGGGGGAGGGGATGGGATTAACAGTAGCAAATATCTGTCGGGGGATGGGAAAACACCTCTTATCAACAGGGTGCCTGAATGAAACGTAATTGTACACCTAACCCTTAACTGTACCCCACAAAACCATAATAAAAAATACTGATTAATGAAAAAAAAATTAATAAATAAATAAAAGCAGGTTGTAATTAAAATATATATATATATATTTATCTCCACTTTAAATCATAGTGATTGTGGAAACTTTGAAATATGTTTGGATCCTTTTTTTTTTCCCCCCTTTTTTCTGATCCATCACAGAAGTCAGACTACAGAAGCCACAAGTTAAAGCCACTGACTTCCATGCCCCCCTCTTTTTCTACAGGCTGCAGGTGGTAATAGGCTGACTTCGACTAAGCAGAGCTACTTTGGCTAAATCGAGTTGTAATTGCCAGCAGAGGGAGGAAACTCCAAAAAAACGTATGGACTTCAGTATAAGATAGGCACCATGTTAGTCTGCCAGGAGCACCCTAACGCAGTACTGTCGATTTGAGGGCTGAAACCGTGGACGCTTATTTTCTCACATTCGTGAAGGCCGGGAGTCCCAGATCGAGGTCCGTCAGGGTCGGCTTCTGGGGAGAAGGCGCTCTTCCTTGCGTGGAAACGGCTGCCTGCTTGCTGCATCCTCCCTCGGCTTGGCCTCAGTGGAGTATGTGTGTGGGCGGAGAGGGCGCAAGCTGCTGGTGTCGCTCCTCAGGAGGACGTCAACCCTATGGGCCCCGGCCCCGCTGATGCCCTTACTTCACCTGAGCCACTTCCTTAGAGGCCCCCTCCAAATTCAGCCATACTGGCTGGTAGGGCTGCAACGTACGAATTTCGAAGCGACACACGTGTTCAGTCCACAGCAGCCAGGCTTTTAAACATGCTCAGTCCAAGTCAGAAGTTTCCTTTGGCTCTTTGGAAAGTACAGTAGTCAGAGTGCTATTTGGGCCACTCTGACGGAAACCCAACAGGAGGGGCCTAAGCAAGGGCCTCGGAGTTTGACCGACGCTCTCGTAACAGCCTTGAGGCCATCAGGGGACTCTGTCCCGCCTCCGGTGCTCCGCTTAGCTGGCGGCATGGGCCGCGTCTGCGCTGTCACGTGCCGGCGCGCCGCCGCCAGCCCCGGCAGGGGGCGTGAGAGGCAAGCCGCGTTCCTGGGGACTTCAGCTGGCGTTGCGCACCCTGTTTCCGTTCGGAACCCACAGCCCGGAACTCTTGGCCATGCCTCGCTGCAGAGGAGGCTGGGAAATGTAGCTGGATGGACTTTTACCCGGATTAAGCCCTAGGGCTTTACTTGTTAGCTTAAGAAATAAAAAGAGCCGGCTCGGTGGCTCGGCCTGTCATCCCGCGCCTTTGGGGGGCTGAGGTGAGTGGATGGCCTGAGCCCGCGGGTTCGAGACCCGCCTGGGCCACTTGGCGAGGCCTCATCTCTACCATCAATCAAAAAATCAGCCGGGTGTGGTAGCGCGCGCCTGCAGCTCCGGCTACTCGGGAGGCTGAGGCGGCAGGATGGCCGGAGCCCCGCAGGTCGAGGCTGCGGTGGCCGGGAGCGGCCGCTGCACTCCAGTCTGGGCGGCCGAGTGAGACTCCGACTCAAAAACAGACAAAAAAAAAAAAAGAAATAAAAAGAAAACGAATACTGCTGGACCATTTGCAGTCTCCATGCACTTGACATTTTATATATTTTATTACTTTATTGATCAACTAATAAGGTTTATAGGAACCAGTTGTCTAACTGAGAATTTCCTTTTATTTTAATACCTGGAAAACGAATATGGTTCAGGAAGCATATTTTTAAAATTTAAGAGAATTTAACTCTATTTAAATAATTATGTTGTGTCAATATAAAAATTAAATATTGTATTTTGATGTTCTAAATGATTTTTTCTTCTGATAAGAGCCTTCTGCCTCAGTAATAACCATCTTGTGAAATAATGACTTTTATTTGCTATCAGGAAATGTAAGTTTAAAATTCGTATTTATTCTCATGAGAGGATATCACTAACAAAAACAGTTGAATATAGCAAAATGAAGGGGATTCTGGTGACTGAATTTTCTAAAGGGTCTCTTTTTGGAATATCTATTTGTGTTTCTCTTCTGTCATTAGCCTCAAAGTATATAAAAATCAACATTTGCTGTGCCTAATATTTACTGCATATAGGAGTCTGTTTTAAATATGTAAATCAAGGTTGGAACGCAAGCCAAGTCACTTGTACATTTAGTTGTCCTAAAGACTAGTAGTTTTCAAATATACGACATACACCCTTTTTGCCATCAATTTAACTTAATATTCCAATATGAAAATCAGATTAAATCAGAATTATAGTTGTATAGCTTTATTGTGTAATATCAAATATGTGACATTTACTTCTCAAAAAGTTAGTTAACAAAAACAGTGCAGCTACCTTGATAACTGTATGTTTAAGATTGGGAATAATGGAAGACCAGTACAATTTTATAAGCCTAAGTATCCAGTTGGCTTCTGTATTTTGTTGAGTTTGCGTAATATCAAGAACATTCTGAAAATGGTAGCTTTTTAATAGAATGTCTTGTCTTCAGCTAAACTAATCTGAAGCTTAAAAGAATAAGTGATCAAAAATTTTTGATTCATTGTTGAGTCGCCATGGAATCTATCACCTCTTCACTTTTAATCAGAAATGTAAAAATCACACAAGAAGCACTCAAAAGACTCAAACTTGGAATAAATGCTAAAACTTTTTGTACTGTGATAAGCATGTGGCTTTATTATGGTAAGTAGAATATTAAAAACAGAAAAATCCAGTGGTTGAATGTGTTATGCAGTTGTAACTGTTGTAATACAGTGTCAGTTATTGGCTTCTCCTAGGAGGAGTATGAAGAGCTGCTTCGCTATGCGATGGTGACTGAACCCAGTGCCGCCCTGTCATCTCATCCCAAGGGAGAAGTAGGGCCAGAGGCCAGAGGTCCTGGGGCAGGGGATACTGTTCTTCACAATCCAGGTTACACGTATTTTCCAAGATGTCTTTTAACTTAAGCTATTGTTGAGTTTATTAATGATGCTGACTTATGATAGTGAAAATGACTCGCCGGATCAGTGATTCTTCTCACTCATGGGTGTTTGTCAGTACCATCGGGGATAACTTTTTACACTTTAATGGGTTATTCTTGGCTCTTATCTGACAGCTGGATTTTTCTTTGAGTGTCATTTGACTCTTACTTTTATAAAAAGTTAATAAAATTAAAGCAATACCATAGCAATTACATATATATACATGTATATACATATACATTTTTTTTTTCTTAGTTTAGGATCCATTCTGTCGCCTAGGCTGGAGTGCAGTGGCACAATCACAGCTCACCATAGCCTCAAATTCCTGGGCTCAAACAATGTTCTCTCCTCAGCCTCTCAAGTAGCTGAGACTACAGGCACATGCCACCATACCCGGCTAATTATTTGATATTTTTGTAGAGGCGAGGCCTCACTATGTTGCCCAGGCTGGTCTCAAACTCCTGGGCTCAAGCAGTCCTCCTGCCTCAGCCTTCCAAAGTCCTAGGATTTCAGGTGTGAGGCACCACACCTGGCCACAATCTCATATTTCTTAGTGGAGTATGTTGCATCTCAGTACTTGTTCCAGTGATTTTATGCCAGGATTATCTTGAAAACTCATGCCCAAGTCCAAAATTACAGATGGTCCATAGGTAGCCTTCAAAGTCCCTTCACTCAGTTTATGAACCGCATGCTGGTACTTTGTCACATTGTCACATATGGGCATAGAGAACTATTGGATTATCATCCCAAGGAAGAACTATTTGTGGACCACGTTGGCAACAGAACTGAGAGCTAGTATAAACCAGGATGTGTGTTAATAAATGAGTGGAAGAAAGAAAAAGCACCTTTTACCTCCTTCCTTATTCAGTAAAGTACAACATCCCAAACAGCTCACTCTAAATGAGTGCCCTTTCAAAAGGCACGGAAAGCCTTCCTAAACCAGCCCTGATCATGAACATTTAGCACCCAAGAGGCATAACGCCCAGGATTCTTGTCTTTGAAGGCACTGACACAGCCTCCTCAGCGTCAAAAGGCTCCTGGACTTCTGGGAAGTCACATCCCTAGTGCTTCGTGTCCCTCACCCTCTGTGGACATGGGTTTTTTATTGCTCCTTGGTCTTTGGCCTACTGCATTGGAACTAGGACTAGAACCTTAAAAATAGGTGTTTCTTCTAACACTGAAACACTCTAACAGAAAATTTCCTACCCAAATTTTACGGATCTTCAAGAGATGTGAACCTTGGACAGTCATTCTACAACAGTGATCTTGATTGTGTTTTGATTACACTGGATACCTCAACATGTAGTTCCTATGTAACAACCTCAGGCAAAGTGCTGCATACTTGTTCATACATTTATATAGACAAATCAGCTTAGCCCTACGTGCCTTTGCCCTTGGGAGGACTACCAACAGCCTGCTTCCTTTCCCCTTGCCAGCACTGCTGCTGACTTTTGTTGCCCGTGACACAACACGGGTTCTTCTTGCTCCGGCTCTTAAAGTCTCGAGGGGTTTAAGACCATTGCTCTTTTCTTCCGTGTAAGAGAATAGTCCTTTGTTTAGGCTCTGCCGTTTCCAAAAAAGGATTTGAAAAGGATTTGAAACGAAACCATACAATGTACAGTGAATTTAGATAGCCCTTGGACATCCCGATTCACAAGTAGAGTGTCCTAGAGTAGACCATGTATATCTATCGTCACACATTCTCTGCTATGAAATCATAGTCGCTTGGTATAGGACAGGGTTTGGCAAAGTTTGCAAAGTGGATACAAGCCTCTAGCAGCCATTCTTGTGAGGTTTCCCAAGCTTCCTGTTTGCCATCCGTTGACTTCAGGCTTCTGTGGTGGAGGCAAGGAAGTCCTTGTTTGGGGGATCCAGTGTCACTTTATTGATTGCAACTAGTGAAAAGCAGTGGCCCCGGAAATCTCCAGGGTCATAAGACAGCAAGTCCTTTTCTAAGCTCTAGTGTCATCTGCCCGTGCTCCTCGTGCTGTGAATTGAACACTGTAGTAGGCTAAACCATCTTCTACCCATATTTGATGCATGAGTTGTAGCTTATCGGTGTTATAATGAATCTTTTCTAGCCTCAGATTTTGTCTTTCTTCTTGTCTTTGTCTTACCGTGCCTACATCCCGAGCATGCTGCAATTTGCTTGTCCTGAAACCTTGCTTAGGCACGGCTGCTTTTTAAAACTAGGTATGTGTGATTAGGCATTCTATTTAAGATTGGTTCTGTTCATTTTAAAAAGCTCTCCTTTTAACAGGAAGTAACTCTGTCGTAAGAGAAACTGCAATGGAAGTTGGAAAAGGATGTGATTTCAATGTGTCAAGTCATTCAAAGACAGATGGTATGACTTTTCCTTTGTTGTTATTAGCATACAATATTTTGTGGCTTAATGAATATTATCTATGTAGTAAGAGGAACAATCTCAACATGTTACTTATTGGCAGGGATTCATTTGTTTGTTTGTATTTATTTATTTATTTGCTTATTTATGTATTTTGAGGCAAGATCTCATCTGGTGCCCAGGCTGAAATGCAGTGATACAATCCTAGCTCCTGTGTCCTCAACCTTGTGGGCTCCAGCGATCCTCCCACCTCAACCTCCCAAGTAGCTGGGAACTATAGGCGTTCACCATCAACCCCAGCTAATTTTTGTAATTTTGTAGAGACCAGGTCTCACTGTATTGCCCAGGCTTGTCTTGAACTCCTGGGCTCAAGCAATCCTCCCACCTCAGCTTCCCAAAGTGCTGGAATTGCAGACATGAACCACCGTGCCTGGTGGCAGGATTTTAAAATGCAGTTGGTTGCCAATTTAAGTGGTAATATTCAAAATAATATCATAAAATTCAAAAAATAACACAAATAAGGCAGGTTAATGCATTGTAGTGTGTGGCTTCCTTTCTTAAAATTGCTAAGTTAGAGGGAAAGTATTTTAAAAGATTTAATGAGCTATTTGATAGTTTGGCCAATTTAAATATGTTTATAAACCAATGTGTAATCCCAGCTTTCACACCACTGTGTACCAATGTAACGATTTTCATCCTTCCAAAGTGCTGGGATTACAGGCATGAGCCGCCACACACGGCTTGATTGCCATTGTTTGATTGATTCATTCAGTAAGGAAGAGAAAAACTCTTCCATCTTTGTTACTAGGACGCTTATAACAAATGTGAGATGTGTGACAAATGTGTCATAAAATATTATCTTTTCTATTTTGTGCTTTTTAGAGATAGGCATCAGTCAGTTTCACTTTGGGTCCTGGCTCTCCCCACTTCCCTGTAAATGGGCAAGGGGTAACAATTATATATATAAGTACCTATATACATAGAGATGTATATATTTCTCACATACATATTGAAAGCTAACAGGGTACCTTACAACAGAGAATCTGAAAAACTGAGGGTATCTTTCTACTTATATTGTTGAATTTTAGAAGTGGTAAGACCCAGCCCAGTGTTAAACATATAAAGCAACAGTGGCCTATATACAACCACTCTGATTTGGTCAGTTACTTAACACTTTTTAAACCTCAGTTTCTCCAGTAAAATGGAGATAGTAATACCTATTTTTTAGGGTAGCATGTGTCATGAGAGCTGATGTTTATAACATTTTTATTACAGAAATATCAAGCACTTGATTAGCAGAGATGTGATGTGGATGATGATTGTTTTAGCTTGGGCTGTACCTGGACATATGAAGCATCCTTATTTGAAGCATCCTAAGAGGCCATTTGTTGGGGAGAGTGGGGGTTGGGATTGTAGGAGAGTTCTCATGCCTAAATGGGTGAGTCCTAAATCAGTGGACAGCACTGAAATTGAAAAGAGCCAGATTAAGGCACGCCTAAAAGATGATTTGTCTGCATATTCCTCACCTCCATAGGCGGCAGGCCTCTTTTAGCCTTCCGGTATGATTCCTCACCAACTTGGGTAATTTCCAATTCGGCTTGACTGCTGCAACTTTTCTTTTATTCTAGGCTCATCACCGGTGCTGTCACCAAGGAGACCTTCTCACCCAGTCATGGACTTTTTCAGTTCACATCTTTTTGTTGACTCTTCCTCACCAGCAACTAATTCTAGTCATACAGAGACCCATGAAATTATTGTGAATGATTTTCTTGTTTCTGATGAAAACCTTCACAAGATGGAAAATGTACTTGATCTTTGGAGTTCAGGTCTTAAGGTATTGCAATTGTTCAAATTAAAAGTATCTTTCCTGCTTATACTATTGAATTTTAGAAGTGTAAGACCCAGCCCATTGTTAAACATTTAAAGAAACAGTGGCCTATGTACAACCACTCTGACTTGGTCAGTTAACGCTTTTTAAACCTTAGTTTCTTCATTAAAATGGAGATAATACCTATTTTTTAGGGTAGCATGTGTCATGAGAGCTGATCTCTTTGTTCAATTGCAATTGTTTAATATAGTTTTACTCTTGATTGTACTGTTTATTCTTCTTTTCTTTGAATTCAGAGTCTTTCTTTAGCCTTTTGTTTCCTGAGACAGTCCAGTGTTTTAAATCTGTGCTTCCCTATCCTTAATGCACATATGAATCACCTGGGACTCCTGTTAAACTGCAGCTTCGTAGTCAGAAAGTCTTGGGCAGGACCCAAGAATATGCATTTCCAGCATATTCCCATGTGATGCTCCCATGTGACGCCACTGGTTCAGAACCCATACTTTGAATTGCCAGGTTTTAAATAGTTGCTGGCACAGCTCTGCGTGTTCCATTGAATCTCGTCAGTGTTTTGAAAGACTCAGCCCCTGTGTGACTAATATTGAGACTTTAGCATTAGTTATGACTAATGGAAATGTTTCTCCCTTTGTGAAACAGATGATCCAACTTTAGCTATGTTATTCACTTTGTATTCACTTTTGCAGCAATCATGATGAGTAGCTGATCAATCTGAAGTTTTATTTTTATTTTCGTGATGTCAGTGGCCCCTAAGTAAAACAAAATGTTGCAGTAATGGCAAGGTTTTTTGTTTGTTTGTTTTTGCTATTTCTTCAAAAACTGGAGGAAATAGCATTTTTTTCTGAAACAAAGTTTTATAAAACCAAGTTGAGTATTCACATACATGGAGAAATTATGGTCATGTGAGTTCTGTGGCGTTTATATTTTTCTGTTATTTGGAACCTTACTTTCTAGAAATAATCTTCTAGCATAGTTTTTACAATTTTCCCCTCATGGGACAGGTTTCATACTTAGAATAGTGTAAGTTCATTGGAGTAGTGTACCAGCAACCATTTAAATTGTAACTTGTTATCCAATTTTTTGGTAACAATCGATTTTTGATCTATGCCAGTCAGTAGGATGAAAAGACTTAGCCGTCTGTTGGAAGGTAACCGTTGTGATAAATAGTTTGGAGAAGAAGTCATAGCTCCCATGGTCTCCACTGTCACCCTATCTAAATAACTTACCAGTGGGTATGGCCCAGCCCAGGCCATGCTCCTGTGACTCCTTTTTTCCTGGTATTTTTCATATGACCTTACATTAAAGTCTTTGAATAAAGAAAGGAACATGGTAAATGAGACCTGAAATTTTTTTAATGACAATAAGATTTCATACAAAATTACTTAAATCAAGAAAAATGAATTTTCCTATTATGGTGAATGTGAACTATGAAGAACCATGACTGTTGAACCTAGACACACTTTTCATTGGGGTGTTCTGATTCTTTTAGTGACTCTTGCGTTGATTGTTGTTCTGTTTTTTTGTTTTGCTTTATTTGAGTTAGAGTCTCCTTCTGTTTTTTTAATGTTTCATAATTTCAGTATAGTTTGAAGAAGTAATATTAAGTAACAGTCTTCTTAATTGTCACTGTATTTATTTTTCAGACAAACATCATATCCGAACTAAGTAAATGGAGACTTAATTTTATTGACTGGCACCGAATGGAAATGAAAAAAGAGAAAGAAAAACATGCAGCACATGTAAAACAACTGAACAGCCAGATTGACGACTTGAAAGAGCTACAGAAAACCTTTGAAATCTCCATTGGGAGAAAAGATGAGGTCTTCTTTTTTATATCACTTTTTAACTGAGAATCAGAAAATGTCTTGCTAGATAATAAATTCCAAGAGCTGAGGGTGACTTCGCTCATACAACATACAAAGGGACAATCACTTCAGAAACTAATAGAAAAATAAATTTACAGCAATAGGATTTATTCTTCCTATTACATATGTCAGTTTAATGTCATTTCATCTTCACCATTGACTTTGCTGTTCTTATATTTTAAGCGTATATGTTTTTGTATACGTATATCAAAGCCTCACCCTGTACCTCATAAATGTATAAAACTTTGATTTGTCAATTAAAAAAAAGTTAAGAGTGCATGCTAAATGTAGGTACACTAGTTTTTTCTTCTTTTTCTTCCCAACTGACCTTAAGAGAACACCAAGGAACTAGCAATTATCCATATTTTAACACACTCTCCTAGGGTCATTTTACACATCTCAAATTCTTTTTTTTTTTTTTGAACCGGAGTCTTGCTGCATTGCCTAGGCTGGAGAGCAGTGGCTGTTCATAGGTACAATCATAACATAACACAGCCTCCCACTCCTGGGCTTAAGTGATCCTGCTTCAACCTCCCCAGTAGCTGAGATTACAGTTGTGCATGACCACACCCATCTTAAGCATCTCAGATTATCTGTGATGGGTCTTTCTACATTGGTGAAGTCTTTCTTCATTTTATTGACAAACACAGAACTAACACTTTTCATTTCACTTTATGTTAGCTTCATGAGAACTTGAGGGTGCTCAGGCATGGTGTTTCATGCCTGTAATCACAACACTTTTGGAAGCCAAGACAAGAGGATTGCTTGAGCCTAGGAGTTCAAGACCAGCCTAAGCAACATAGTGAGATTTTGTTTCTACAAAAAACAAATAATTAACCAGGTTTGGTGGCACATGCTGGTAGTCCCAGTACTCGGAAGGCTGAGACAGAAGGATCATCCGAGCCCAGGAGATTGAGGGTGCAGCAGTGAGCCATGAAATGCACACTCCAGCCTGGGCAAAAGAGTGAGACCCCAACTCAAAAAAACAAAACAAAAAAAAACTTGAGGGCAAGATTCAGGTCTCTGCTAACTTTTTGCCTCCTGACAGTGCTTGGAACAAAGCAGATGGGCAACAAATCTGTGTCCCATCCCTATTCCCACCCCCTCCCCCTTCCCCTGTGTATGGATAGGCGGGTGGCAGCTTTTAAAGAAAAGCACTTTGGAGGCAGATACCTCAGCTGCTTGTCTGCAGAAGCAGAGCTCAGGTGTTCTAATGAACTAATTAAACATTATGACTTTTAAAAAATACGTACATATATTTTAGTTCTGTAGGATATAAACTTGAACATTTTATGTAGTTTGCTTTTTTGAAACAATGGATTCTAATGTCAGTCATGTTCTCTATTATACTCAAAATTCTGTTTTAAGGTTTTTAAATGTTTTAAATTTAATTTTTTTATTTTGAAGTATCACACACAAAAAGTGTAGATAACTTATGTTCAGTTTATGAAAATGAGTAAAGTGAATAGACAGGTACTGCCATTCAGCTTAATAAATAAAATATTATGAATATCTTAGAATGTTTGCCTTTTCCTCTTTTGAAATTTTTTAAAGAAGATCAAGTATAAATGTCTCTTGGCAAATATGCCCAATTTAAAAAACCTCTTTTTTTAGAAATTTATTTCAGTTATTCAGTTCTTTATAAGAGAGATTTTTATCTTAGGATGTAAAGGCTTCCAGATTTTTTTAAGAACAAGATTAATAATATCACTGAAGGGGTGCATCAAAATATAGCTATTATTTGCTTTTATGAGTTTGCTTAATCCATAAAACCATAAAACAGTAATTGAGGAACTTCCAAAGTAGTGGGGACTAGCAAGATATTTAAAACCTGGCCTTGCCCTCAAGACTAGTGAATTAAAGACTTAATATATGCAGCAGAAATTTCAAAGTATAGTTTTACCCAAATTAAATGTCAATTACTTAATTTTCCTATACATAAATTTTTTTATTGATAATTACCAAGATATACACATAATAAAGAGTTTCTTTCCTCTTTTGTTCACCTTTATTAGTTGATATCTAGTCTATTCTTGTGGACTTTTTAAAGATATTATAATAATGAGGCTAACTGGATGGATACAGTAGTGATCCATGCTATTCTCTCTAGCATTTTTTATGTATGAGAAAAATACAAATTGCTGTTATTGTGATATCATGCTAATTGAGTTAATTGCTATTTACAGGTGATTTCTAGCTTGTCCCATGCCATAGGCAAGCAAAAGGAAAAGACAGAGTTGATGAGAAACTTCTTCCACTGGCGAATTGGCCATGTCAAATCCAGACAGGACGTAAGTGTAGAAACAGAAGATCACCAACAGATAGTAGGCTTCTGAACTCAAGAGGGTTTAGGGTCACTTATTACAGCTCCTTGTTAAAGTCAAAGATTTGTTTTCTAATAAGTCAAAATGAATCTATGATTTAATGTTGCTCTTATTTCAAAGGAATTTGATTTGGTATAGTTTGGAAAAACAGATTTTATAAACATATGATATACAGTGTGATAGATATATCATTTGCTGTTTATAGTAGGTTAAAAAGGATTGTACCTAAATTATACACATCCTCGTAATGGAACACTTAACAGTTGTGCCTCAGATGTGATTATGTGGAGAAAGAATTTATAATCTTCAGCGTATCATATTCTTCCTATATTGTTTCTACTTTTAAAATACCTGAATATATTTTATTTACAAAGAGGCATTACTTTATTGCTATATTTAAAAATAGTGTAGACATTGGGCACAGTGGCTCATGCCTATAATCCCAGTACTTAGGGAAGCTGAGTTAGGAGAATTGCTTGAACCTAGGAGTTCAAGACCAGCCTTGGCAATATAGCGAGACCTCATCGCTACAAAAAATGCTTTAAAATAACTGGGTGCAGTGGTGCACGCTGATGGTCCCGACTACTCAGGAAGCTGAGGTGGAAGGATCGCCTGAGCCCAAGAGGACGAGGCTATGGTGAGCCATCATCATGCCACTGCACTCCAACCTGGGTGACAGACCCCAACTCAAAATAAAATAAAATGTAATGCAATGCAATGTAAAGTAAAAAGTAAAATAAAATAGTGTCCTCCAGCAACTCTCAGTTCTCCTGGTCCTGCTAAATTCACACCTAAGATGCAAGTGTCAGTTTACTCATTTGCTTTCATTTAACCCCCCCCCCCCCACTTGATTAGTTGCATAAAGTATGATGTAGCAGACAGAGCTCAGGTTCTGGAGTCAGGCAAATCTGGCTTTCCCCTTCCTACTTACGTGGCCTTCATAGGTTACTTCGCCTCTCCAAGCCTGTTCTCCTGTATGTAAGATGAGAATAATATGGTCACACGGGATTAAATAGTTATGTGTGTACATTGACTACCATGTTATGGTTATTTTTATTACTACAGTATATTTACCAGTCCACTGTTTTTGAGGTTGTGTTTACTTTCATTTAGGTTTATGAAGGCAAGCTAGCTGACCAGTACTTCCAGAGAAAGCTACTGAAGAAAGTCTGGAGAGGCTGGCGTGCCGTGGTACAGAAGCAGTGGAAGAAGGTGGTAGAGCAAGCTTGCCAGGCAAGGGCTGAGGAAGTTTGTGTTCAGATTTCCAATGATTATGAAGCCAAAGTTGCTATGGTAAGCTTCTTTTTGAATTTTCACTTTCTTTAAGTACAATAAAAAAGATGGGTAGACTCCCTATTAGTTTATAGTTAAACTTCTTCTTTTAGTCTTTATGTAGCCCAGAACAGAGACAGAAAACAAAAATGTTTATCATTATGCTAACTTAAATAAACTGTGTTCTTATAAGGTTGATATAGAACAGTTGTATATAAATTGAATTTATTTTCCCATTGACTTTTAAAAGTAAAACGAGCATTGTTTTCGTGGGACTACACTTGGGGCCCAAACTGAAATAAAAACCATTCTGAAGAATGTAGTAGCCTCTTGAAGTCAAGTCAAATATTAAAAGGAAAAAAAGCCTCATCTTATGGCACTGTGTTTTTAGGATTAAAAATAAATTTCATAACCCAAATAATTTTCTGCAAACAAATGTAGTCCCTACAGGTTTGGCCTTTGGGAAAGTGTGTTGTACCTAAGGTCACTCTGCACTTTAAATCCTCTAGGTGGCGTTTGCTTTTTAAAAATTTTTTTAGTATTGCAGGCATTTAGTGATTTTTTTTTTTTCCTTCCTGAAGGGGTGAGGGTTGTCTGTGGCTCCTAATGTATTTTATTTGATATCCTACATAAAAGGTTTATGGTAAGAAATGACATACCTTTTTGTAAAGATGAAAACACTTCAACCATCTTCAATGGAACTGGATAAAATTCCCCTTGTTTGAGCTTTGACCCTATGGTTAGGAATGAAAATGGTTTGTTGGTGGAAATAATAGAGGTAAGAGGTAACCTTTAAAATAAATTGAATCCCATAGCAGAAGAGGTAAGTGACAAATTGTTTTTAGTACCTCACATGAGGATAACCTCCCAGTATTTGTCAATTTTTGAATAATAATATTCTGCCTTGTATCTCAAATTATTTTGTTTTTTTAAAATTCTCCTTATTTTAGTTATCTGGAGCTTTAGAAAACGCCAAAGCTGAAATTCAAAGAATGCAACATGAAAAAGAACACTTTGAAGACTCCATGAAAAAGGCTTTCATGAGGGGTGTATGTGCATTAAACCTGGAAGCCATGACTATATTTCAAAACAGAAATGATACAGGTTAGTATTTCATTGAAGAGTGGTATGGTCCATAGTACACATATGCTGCAGTGAATAGTTGTCATCCAGGTACTGGTATTTTTAATTTCATGGTGTCATATCCAGTTTTTAATCTGCCATGAAAATTAGCTCAGTTATGGTTACTGGTGGTATCTTAGATCTGATCAAGTAAACTGTCACTACCTAAGTATTTAAGCTAAATGTTAAAATAAATGTTCCTTTAATGCGCAGCATTATCTTAAGGCTCTTTTAACTAATAATTGTAAAGCCTTAAATATAAAATTTCTGTTTTTGCTTTTTCCAAAGTAGTCAAATTTCTTGAACTATTTGGTTGATTAAATATCTGGTATCTAGTCATGGTTTCCCATTTTAAGAATTCTTTGTTTTCCAGTTTAAAAGAGCCTTCTGCTAAACTCATTGCCAGAAATATAAATATAGGCCTATCTATGGAAGTCAAGTGAAATAATTTTATTTTTTTAAAAATCCACATACTGCCTGGAATCCCAGTGTTTTGAATAGTCATTTTGTCAGCATGGCTTAGAAAAGCACAAAGCTGGAATCCTTCGCCACCAGTTTACAGGGGGGCCTGTCTTCCTCCTTGAGTCTTAGCTTTCTTCTCTGAACAAAGGAGCCGACTGGCATAAAGCTTCCTTGCCTGCTTCCTTGGGGATGGGGATGCACTGGAACACTTCAGAGCACTTTCCCAGGAAACAACGCGCTTCGGCACCCAACCTGCAAGCAATGTAATATAGCCTTTGTTCAAGTCCGTCTCCCAAATTTTATGCAAAGGCATGGACATTTTTGTGGCAGTCCCTCATAATAAAACCTACCTGGGACTCACATTTATGTATCAATGAGACAGTTTTATTTTGCAACATCATTAACATGATTTCCATCTAGTAACTTCTCTGTGCTTGTCGTGCCCTCATTTTAAAGCATCAACAAGCATTTCTTACTTACATCATGCACATCGTGGATGGTAGTGAGTTTAGACAAATTGTTTTCTATCTGAAGCAAGTTGTATGTACTGAATTGAGGAATTTAATTGCTTGGAAGAGATACTGGGTTTCACAAGTAAAATGACAAATTCTTATTACAATATTACAAGAAACCTCTTTCTCCCAATCTACTCAGAAGATTATGAATCAACTTCAGACAGTGTTTTTCACCTTAATAAATTTACTATCTTAAGATTTAAATTCAGATACTACTGGCTCTCCCACAGGCAAGTTCTGATAATGATACAGCATTTGTTTTACTCTGGTTACTTTTTAGCCTGCTATCATCTGCAGCTCATGCAGGCTCTAGGAATGCAACTGTTGTGGGTGACCTTGTGTGTTGTTGATCATAACAGTGAGTGAGAAAATGATAAGAAATATAGTAGGCCGGGCTCGGTGGCTCAGCCTGTAATCCCAGTACTTTGGGAGGCCAAGGCAAGTGGATTGCCTGAGCCCACGGGTTCGAAACCAGCCCGGGAAACTTGGTGAGACCTCGTCTCTACAATAAAATAAAAAATAGCCAGGAGTGGTAGCTCGTGCATCTGTAGTTCCAGCTACTTGGAAGGCTGAGGTGGAAGGATCGCTGGAGCCCAAAGGTCAATGCTGGGGTGGCCGTGAGCATGCGTGCCACTGCACCCCAGCCTGGGTGAAGGAGTGAGACTCCAACTCAAAAAAAAAAAGAAATAGTAAAACACACTTGCAGTAGTGTTGGTAGAGCTCCCAAAGGCAAAAATTCAATGTGATCTAATGTTGGGTCTACTTTGTGATATTTAGGTTTGGTGACACTTGAATAACACCTATTTTTTTAGTTTTTAAAATACTCATAAGAGAATTACTTTCTGGCCCTCTTCCATTAAAACAATTGTTTTTTGATATTAATAATGCAAGGTTCCTAATGCACCTTTCTTTCCAGAGCAAAATAAATATTTGATTTTTTTTATTTGTCCCGATTCTTTGCTGTCTGTAATCTCCATTGCATCTCATCTTGTGCAGATCTTAAATCTTATAAATTAGAAGACAGAACATGACAGTAAAAATGACCTTAAAATGATGCCTGCCAATTTTCAAAAACAATTTTAGTCATAGTGGAAAAACTCTTTACAACTGAAAAAATGTATCCCAGCTAAACAAGAATAATTATTGCACAATATAGTTATCTGATAAACAGTAGCTACATAAATCAGCCCACATTAGGGTGAACCTGTCACCTGCCTTTCTTCCGTAGTATCCTAGAGCCAGACTGACCTTTGTGCTGATTCTGCATCTAGTGTCTGCCACCACCTCAAGAAAGAACTCAGAAGCACTTGCTATCAAAACATGTTAAAACTGTGTGTGTGTGTTGTTTTCAAATTTAGTCCCTTTCATCAGAGGATTTCTTTTTTGTTTGTTTGTTTGAGTTGGAGTCTCACTCTGTCGCCCAGACTAGTCCAGTGGCCGCTCCCGGCCACCGCAGCCTCGACCTGCTGGGCTCTGGCGATCCTTCCGCCTCAGCCTTCCAAGTAGCTGGAACTACAGGTGCGCGCTACCACACCCGGCTGATTTTTTTATTTATTGCAGAGATGAGGTCTCGCCTGCCCAGGCGGGTCTCGAACCCGCGGGCTCAGGCAATCCACTCACCTCAGCCTCCCAAGGCGGGGGATGACAGGCTGAGCCACTGAGCCTAGCTCATCAGAGGATTTCAAAGAATCTAGGCACTGTAATCATTGTTAAGCTTTGTTAATAAGGTCTTACTAGTACCCTATACACTTTCTATACAAACAGTCTAAGAAAAGGACTTACGCAGAAGGAGATGACATAGGCAACCGTTGAAACATGGTGCCCTCTATTCCGATGTTCTGGAACATCTCACTGACTGAATTTCCACCTTCACTCCACTGTTTGGTACTACATAATATAGTCCTAAATGGAAACTAACCAAATTCTTATACTGGATGGAGAGGAACCTGAAATTGGAAAAACTCTTGCCCTCACTTCTGGAACACTGACGTCTTTCCCTCCTTAGATTAAGGTTAGGGCTCAGTTTTGAGGGAAGTTGTCACTTAACTAACTGCGGTCAGTTAAGTGTGCAGGTATGCTCTTGATTCATGATTCATATAACCTATCTGCAAGAACCCATTTCTTTTACAGTGTCAGAATTGAAGAGCTTAGTTTTACTTATGGATTTATTATTGTTTGCTGACAATTCAAAAATGCATTGTTTTTGTTAGGATAGGAGCAATCAATGGAAAAGGGGATATGGTGATATCAGAAAGTAGTTGTAAAGACCTCTTGGCCATTTAGGCCATTTATCAGGAGACCTGTATGAAATGATGCAAAAGGACTTAAATCTTTAGGCTCAGTGTGACCATATTGTTATAATAGCTGTGATGGCAATACATGATATACTTAACTGGGGTCCCAGCTGAGTACATAATTTATTTTTGTCCTTTATGCGAGAATAAATCATTCATTTGCTTTCACATTTTGAAGGAAGTGGTCTGAGGTCTTCAGTGGCTAATGCTGACATTAACCAGTTAATACTGACAAACTGTATTGACTGAACCTTGTATCCAATATACTGTATGACAGATAACTACATTTTTTTTTTTAGGACCGTGCTTTAGCCATTGGGTTTTCATTGTATGGAGGATGATGGTAACTCTAACTTGGAAGAATATTAATGGAATTAATTTCTGATTGATAGGGGTAGACTTCACAAATGGTAAGAAGGAAGAGTATGGTCCTGGTGTACAAGGAAAAGAACATTCTGCTCACTTAGATCAATTGGCTCCTTCGATGCCGGTTCCGTCACCACTGCTGCCATCCCCACCAGCTGTGGCGGGCGGAGTCCCCTCTGCCGCCTCTATGACATCTGCCGGGGCTGCTTCTGCATCTTCTAGCCACGTTCCTGTTTCCGTTCTGGGTGCAGGATCTGGAGCCACTGCTACCTCGGAAGAAATGGTTAGTACAGCTTATACAAGTGCCATGTTATTAAAAGCATTTAAAACTTGTTTGTAAGTTGGATATTTTGAACTCGTATTTTCCTATAAAGGTAAAAATCAATGTGGTATTTAAGCAAAGCCACAGAAAATATTTAATACATAAAGTGGTTTTAACATTAAACTGTAATGAAAAATTATACCCAAAAGTGCTATCACAGTAGTGGTAACAAAAACAAAAAATAAAGAACATTTTATTTTATATTTTTCAAAAGCCATATAGGAAAGAATAGATTTAGCTTGAGAATAGATTGAGTTGATGACCAGACTTTCTGTTTTTTAAGTTTGAAGGAAACTAGTGGGCATGTTCAAGGGCTTAGGAGAATAATGTGTATTTAGCTTCAGATTCAACTGCCAGCTTTCCCTTTTCCTGGATGCAGATATATCATGAACACTGCTCTGAAATGGCTCCATCTTGGTCAGGTTTAAATTTTTAATCTACAATTAGAATAGAGATGGGAATAGTTTTTCCTAGAGTCACTTAGCTACTATTAGAGGAGTGCCCAGAGGAGAGTGCTGAATAGAGTTGGAGGATTTGTGTGAGAACTTGCCTGAGGTGGAATTAATCAAGCTAGTCATGTGGTTAAGAGTTCAGGTGCAGCACATCCTAGCCCTGACTCCTCAGCCTCCTGGGGCGTCAAACCCTCATCCCTCAAATTGTGTCTCTCAGGAGACGATGGAGCAGGGATGCAGGCCCAGCTTCTCGGGCTCACTTGGGAAGGGCTTTTTTTAAACAAAACAAAGCAGAAACTATGGAATTCTTCCCACTGACGAGGCTGTGGCACAAAGGCATGTATCGTTTTATAAAGCTCCTGAGGGGATTCAGATTTGCTTATCTTCCTCTTCTCTCCACCTCCTAGCTACCTACAGAAGAGAAAAGAAGGTGGCAGAATAGTTAAGGTCTTAAAGTTCCCCTGGCAGGCCACTGCTCTGAACAGCTCTCTGTGGCTAAAGGAAGCATGGAGTTACCGGACAGTTGGTCATCCTTAGTATCTCAGCTGACTTGAATGTCTGCCTTCTGAGCGCAAGTAATTTTGGGGGAAAATATGTTGAGATCAGTTATCTATCATGTTTGCTCTTGACCCGAAGAGGTCTAAATAAATATAGCACATGACTGTTAGGAGAAATTTGGGCCAGGCACAGTGGCTCACGACTGCAATCCCAAGATTTTGGAAGGGAGGATTGCTTGAGCCTAGGAATTTGAGTCCAGCCTGGACAGCATAACGAGACCTCATCTCTGTGAAAAATCAAAAAATTAGCTGGGCGCGGTGGTATGCGCCTGTAGTCCCAGCTCCTCGGAGGCTGAGTGGGGAAGATCACTTGAGTCCCGCAGTTGGAGCTATAGAGAACCATGATTGTACCACTGCACTCCAGCGTGGGTGATAGAGTGAGACCCTGACCAAAAAAAGAAAGAAAAAGGGAGGAAGGAAAGAAATTTTAATATGTGGAGGAGTTTTGTCTGAGAAATAAGACACTAAAATTCAACTCTGACGTATGGTCAGCTCTAGTTACCTTCTGTGATTGTACATTTTGAAGTGTGATCCTATGTGGATTACCTCATTTGTTTAAACTTCTGGTTTGTCATTCATCTTACATATGCAAATAACACAGCAGAGCTAGATTTTTCAAAATTTCCTTCTTAAAATGTGACTGTACTGAATATGCAGGGGCACGACTGAATGAATGAGTTTACTTACCACCCCTTTTGAGTAATGGGATCACCCGAGATAATTTTGACGTCTTTGCGACTGAAACCGACAGTGTCGTGTAGACAGCCCTTCCTGGTCTGTCCCCTCCCACTCCCATCCCCTAACCCACTAGTTCACTTCTTCAACAACAGATACACATTCAGTTTCATTCGCATAAGGACAGCCTTCAGGGCCGGGAGTAAGAATCACAGATAAATCTATCTATACATAGTGCTAGTTTTCTTCCTCCTTATTTAATTAACTACTCAGATTCCCTCAAATGCCTTCTTTTTGGGGGAAAAAAAAGAACCATAATAACAAAAGTTGCAACAAATTCAATAGTTGACTGAATGTGATACTGTGAAACCATCATTGCTGGAATAGGAAAGGAAGAGATTTGTGATCCGGGCCTGGTTATCTTTTTTTCACTTTTATCACAGAGGCTTCCTATGAACATTCAGAACTTTTTCTTGTCTTTTTTGGTATTTCCAGTAGCTAAAAGGTATGTGCAGAAAGTGCAGAGAATTAGCAAACAAATAACTGGAAAAAGGAAGATCACCATGCTAATAAAATAATGTCTTCATATGTAAAACTGTTTCTTTAATACAGATATCCTCAGTATCTTATCAGAATTTCATAGTGGAAACAGTTTTCAAAAAAGGTTAGATAAGCAAATATATTGCAGTTCACAAAGTTGAACAATAGAAGGCACTTTATTCTTTTCTAACTCCAATAATTAAAAAAAAAATTGAGGGGAAATATTTTTAGTTGATTTTTTTTTTTTTTTTTTTTTTTTGAGTTGAAGTCTCACTCTGTCCCCCAGACTGGAGTGCACAGGCACACTCCTGGCCACCACAGCCTCGACCTGCTGGGCTCCAGCAATCCTTCCGCCTCAGCCTTCCACGTAGCCAGAACTACAGGCACGTCACCATGCCCGGCTATAAATTTTAAAGCTATTTGATAAAGCTATTGTTATAACCGAACTGCAAGAAAGGAGCATCACCAGCACACTGAGGGTTGCATTTTGAGTCCTTTAATAGCTGGCAGTCGAGAGTGGCTAATGCCCAAAAAGATCTCTCGACCCCGAGCAGAGCAAGCAAGGAGTTCTTAAAGCCAAAAACCGCAAGTGGACTGCATAGCCAGGGGGTAGGAGAACAAGGAACTAAAAGCAAAAGGGATTTTGCAGAGAACAGCAAAGAACAGTTTCTTGGCGTGCATCTGGCTTTGGTTAAGTAAAAGTACAGTTATACAATTAACATGGAACTTATGGTTATGGAGTTTTCAGACGTTTAGGGGGAACAGTCCAGGGGGACAAGGATGTAGGTCTGTGATTATGAGAAAGTTTTATCGGTCACACATGGGGGGGGCTGCATCTGGGTAGGCCAGCAGCTGAGATGGAGGATGTTCTCACAAAATGAAGTCACTTACGTCAGACCAGCCATTACAGGCTATTATAGGTTTCACAGGTATTTCACTATAGAGTAGAGCTTCTCTCTTAACTTTCCTCTTACCTGAATGGAAAGTGAAAAAGTATAAACAGACAGTTGGTTCTGCTTTCTCCATTTTGTAAATGAGGAAATTGAGGCTTAGAAAGAGTGAGTAACTTGCCTGGGAACACAATTTGTAACTGTAGAGTTGGAATTCAGGCTTAGACCATCTGGCTTAGACCTCTGCCTCTGAACCAGTAATCTGTATTGTCTCCCTGTCAGTGTCATTCCCTTTTTTCCGTTGCTTTTGATTTTGTTGCTTGTGTTAACAGAACTTAAAATACTAGGATTTTCATTTTAAGTTAGCTGTTAAATTGAATGAACTCCAACATGATTGGTACCACTAAGTGATCATTTAATCAAAAAAAGTCAGCAAAAGCAGAGAGTAATTTTTTTAATGATACATGCATACCTTATACATTATTTTATCCTAAAACATAAATATGAATTAGTTTGGTAGTTTTTTTAATGTGGAGCCAAACTGGGTGTGGGGTCGCAAATTGTTATTAAATCATCCTTTTAAATTAATGACAGAGTTTTTGAAAAAGGACATTTTATTTATTATTTAACTCAATCTATTTTTTTTTTTTAAGAAACAGGTTCTTGTTCTATTGCCCAGGCTGGAGTGCAGTGATGTGATCACAGCTCACCACAGTCTTGACCTCCTGAGCTCAAGTGATCCTCTTGCCTCAGCCTCCCAAGTACCCAGGACTACAGGCACATGCCACTGCGCCCACTAATTTTTAAATTTTTTTAATATAAGCCACTCAATATATTTTCTGTGATCTCCAATTTCAGTATTTGTAAAGAATGAACCTAACAATACTTTCAAAGCAAGCTGATTATAGAATCCTTGTAGGTCTTTTTTCCATCACCTGATATAGTAGCCATTTTTTCTGACTTATCTTTAAGAATTCTTTCTAAAATATGGGCCAGGCACAAGGGCTCACATCTGTAATCTCAGCATTTTGCGAGGCCAAGATGAGAGGAAAGCTTGAGGCCAGGAGTTCAAAACTTGACTTAAGCAACATGGCAAGACCTCACCTCTACAAAAAATTTTAAAAATTAGTGGGCGCAGTGGCATGTGCCTGTAGTCCCGGGTACTTGGGAGGCTGAGGCAAGAGGATCACTTGAGCTCAGGAGGTCAAGACTGTGGTGAGCTATGGTCACATCACTGCACTCCAGCCTGGGCAATAGAACAAGAACCTGTTTCTTAAAAAAAAAATAGATTGAGTTAAATAATAAATAAAATGCCCTTTTTCAAAAACTCTGTCATCAATTTATATAATTTTTAATTTTATACATGCAGACGACGAATTGTTTGAAAATGAGCGACTGACTCTTGGTAAGCTTGCAAGTCATTTAAGGCAACATCTGTGTAATTCAAATGAGTATAGAGAGATTTTTTTTTTAAGTCACCTATTTAGCCGGGCTCGGTGGCTCAGCCTGTAATCCTGCACTTGGAGAGGCTGAGGTGAGTGGATTGCCTGAGTCTGCAGGTTCGAGACCCGCCTGGGCAACTTGGCGAGACCTCATCTCTATAATAAATCAAAAATTAGCCAGGTGTGGTAGCACACGCCTGTAGTTCCAGCTACTTGGAAGGCTGAGGCGGAAGGATCGCCGGAGCCCAGCGAGTTGAGGCTGCGGTGGCCAGGAGCGTGCCACTGCACTCCAGTCTGGGCGACAGAGTGAGACTCCAACTCAAAAAAATAAAAAATAAAATAAATAAATAAAGTCACTTATTTGCTGGAGTATGTATTTTCATCTGTTTGTTTTGAATCAGATTTTTACTCTGTCACCCAGACTAGAGTGCAGTAGCACAATCAGGGCTCACCTCAGCCTCCACCTCCTGGGCTCAGGCGATCCTTCCACCTCAGCCTCCCGATTAGCTTGGACTTCAGGCATGTACCACCATGTCTGGCTAATTATTTTGACTTTTTTTGTAGAGACAAGGTCTCCCTATGTTGCCTAGGTTAATCTCAGATTCCTGGGCTCAAGTGATCCTCTCACCTTGACATCCCCAAGTGCTGGGATTATAGGCATGAACCACCACGTTCAACCTACATTTTCATCTTATTAAAGCCATTGTAAAGCAATCATCAGCTGGGTTGAATGAAACTTGTCATCTAAGGGCACTTTTCCTACTACTCTAGTTTTTTTCTAGTCCAGACTTCTTTAGTTTTTCAGGCATTTCTTCACCTGACGCTCAGGTAAGAGTAGCAGCCACCTAAGGGATGCCCCTCAAGTGGGATCGGACAGGAATATGGTCACAAGCTCAGTTAAACTGCAGTCTTTCATGTTCGGCAAAGAATTTTCTTGCCAGAAGTTAGTTTATGTTTTAACGTGCTTTAAAAAGCCAGAAGTATTTCTCCAAGGGTTATAGTCCCTCTCCCTAAACTCTATTAGCTGTTTCTTCTCTTTTCTACTTTTTCCTAAATAACATACTCATGCCATTATTTCTGCATTTGTTAATCTCAAACATTATCTGTTGGCTTCTTATGGGTGAAAGAATTTGGCCTTCTGAGACCACCATGCTTTCTCTCTCCTCTTTTCCTTCTCCATCTTCCATGTATATAAACATGTAGATACAGATATTCCAATTTGGATGAAATCAGTGCTTATGCTGACAATGTGAATATCGCTAAGCCCTAAATGTATATTATAACTACATTTCCTTTCTGGTACAATTTTTTGTTCTTAGAATTGTTGCATTTTTGGTTTTGCTTGGTTTTGGGTTGCAGCTACAATTAATTCTTTCCAAACCCTCCAAGGAATTATAAAACCCCACTGAATGCCATTTTTCCAAGGGGTCTTCCAAAAACACTAATATTCTATCATTTTACTTTTCCCAGAACACTTCTCCTGAAGCCCACTCTCTTCCTGTTTTTTGTTATACAAAAAGAAAAGAGGAATTTATTTTTTACCCAAAAAAGTACCATGTATAATAGGAAAAGAACTGAGACTCTGCAGCTAGACAAAGACATGTGAAGAACCACAGAAGGACTGCAGCAATGGGGAAAAGGCGAGGGCTTAAGAAATACTTTTTAAAAAAATTGTTCAGAGAAAAAATGAAATTTGACACTGAAATTTCAGATGTTTTAATAAGTTAGAAGAATATAATTACTTCAGATGTCCAAAGCGGTTATTTTGATTTAATAAAGTAATCAGAAATTAATGACAGGATTAACTACAATTTTTAAAATGTATGTGCATTAAAAAGTAAAACAAAAGATGAAATGGGTAAAATGTTTAGACTGTTAGATAAGTATCTGTAATTATCGATGAGCTTAATAATCTATCAGTGGGCATTAAAAATTTTTTAATAGCAATACCCTTTCAATTCCTGGCAAATAATTAAAAGAACATGGGTAGTTGACAAAATGGAATGCAGATATGAAATGTTAATAAAGAAACATAAATCAATTAAATCAAATAGTAGATTTCTCCTCAAACTTAAATGTCATTGTATGACATACTATAACAATTATGACATAGTATGTCATTGATCGACAGTGGGAAAAAAATGAATTCACTTGTGCATTATTCCTCATGTAAACATCCTTCTGGAGTGTCATCCAGCAGTAAACAACGAAAGCTACAAAAGCTGGCATTACTTTTGTATGTGATCATCCCATTTCTTGCAATATATTCTGCAAAATAACTCTCAAAAGAAAATAGAAATTTGTTTTTTAGGGAAAAAAATGTGCTATATGTAATAGGAAAAGAATTGAGAAAGTTAGACGAAATATAGTCTGTTGGTACAAAAACATCTCCTCAAAAATGATAGCATCCCTTTTCATTACCTCATGAAAAAAGTATATTATAAAGTGAGGAGAAAAAAGGCAGAACACAAAAGCATATGTGTACTGACAATATCAGTTATGCCTGAGGACCAGAAAGTTCACAACACAGACTATGGTTGGTTGCCAGGGGTCAAGGATGGCTGTGGGGAAGGAAGAGAGCGGGTGTGGCTGTTGGGGGTAGGAAGGGGGTCTTTGTGGTGATGAGGACTCTGCATCTCGAGTGAGTGATCGTTCCAGGAATCTATACTTGTGATGAAATGGCAGAGATCAACACAGGCGTTACATCAATGTCACCTTCCTGGTTTTGATGTTGCTATTCTCCAGTCACATAAGCTGTCATCTCTGCAGGAAATGGGGAGAAAAGCACATAGGACTCCTCAATACAATCTGCATCGTCCCATGAATCTGTCGTTATGTCAAAATAAAAAGGTTTTATCTTAAGTTTCTAAAATCCTATCAGATTGTATTGTCTTCATAAGTTATGGACCCAAAAGTATTATAAATGTTGCTGTGGATTTTCTGCCACCTGGGTATTTCTCTCTTGTTTTTCTCAGTATGTGCCAAGAGTTGTGACTTCTGCACAGCAGAAAGCTGGAAGAACAATTACAGCCCGGATCACAGGGAGATGTGATTTTGCTTCAAAAAACAGAGTCAGTAGCAGTTTAGCTGTGATGGGAGTTTCTCCTCCCATGAGCTCGGTTGTTGTGGAAAAACATCATCCAGTCACAGTGGTAAGTCCACATTTGAGGACCTTTTGCCAAAACTCCTGAGAGTCCATAGACTAATCAACACTTAAGTGACATGTTGAGAAGACAGAAATTCAGGATGGCTGGTACTTGTTCTTCTATTTCCTATTGCAGTTTTTTTATACTTATCAATCCTGTTCTAAATCTACCTTTCCTCTTCCTCTGATAGGAAATTAATCTCAGAAACTTTGTTCCAAACAGTGTAAAGCTTACCAGATACAAAAACTAATACAGTGTGCTGGTGGTCCAAAGAGTAAGATATATAAATGATTTCTCATTAATTTAAAAAGATACAAAACCTGTTTATTCATCAACCCTGTTCATATAGCAGATATTTGATTAATTTGATTATAGGAAAACTTTCCTGCTTTCTTAGTTTTCATTTTTAGTCCTTTGGGGGGGGGGATCAGAGTCTCACTCTGTCGCCCAGGCTGGATTGCAGTGACACACACATGGCCACTGCATTCTCTACCTGCTGGGCTCAGGTGATCCTCCTGCCTCAGCCTTCCAAGTAGCTGGAACTACAGGCACACGCCACACACACCTGGCTAATTTTTTTATTTGTTGTAGCAACAAGGTCTTGCCAAGTTGCCCAGGCTGGTCTTTGAACCCATGGGCTCAGGCAGTCCTCTCGTCTCCACCTCCCAAAGTTCTGGGATTACAGGCATGAGCCACCGCACCTGGCTGTTTTAATTTTTTTAAGTCTTACTTTTTCAGTACGGTTGTCAGCATATTTTTAATTTTAAAAAAATTCAGGTTGTAATAAATTCATGTGATATAAAGGAGAGTGCTTTGAATTTTAAACAAAAACTTAAAAACCTGAGTTAGTGCTTAAGCTTTGCTTCTTCTTGCCTTTGTGATATATATAAGGTGGGACCCCACAAAAAACTAGAATTTATTTATTAAAAAATTGTATATTTATTCTTACATGTTTAAACTTTAGTCACCTTCAGCATACCCTCCGTTTGGTGCAATACACTAATCAAAATGCCTTTTCCACTGCTCAAAACAGTTTTCGAACTTGCCAATTTTTATGCCTTCTAGTGCTTCTTCCCATTTTTGTTTCACCTCTTCCACGGCAGCAAAACATTTCCCTTTGTGGACTTTTTTCATCCAGGGGAACAAAAAAAGTCACTCGAGGCGAGATTGAGTGAATAGGGAGGGTGAGGTACACGGGTCATGCAGTTTTTGGTCAAAAACTGCTGAACACTCAGTGCAGTGTGGGCAGGTGTGGTGTCATGGTAGAAGAACCTGTCACCTGTTTGCTGCAACTTAGGACGTTTCTTACACAAATCAACTCAAAACTTCTAGATAAAAACTTTGGTTGATGGTTTGATCGGGAGGAACAAATTCTAAGTGTGCTATAAGGGGCCCACACTTCAAAAGATAATTCTGAAGTTTTTGGGGTCCTCCCTCATACAAATCAAGTAAAATATTTGAGGCTCCGTGTTCTGTTAAATGGGACTGATGAGAGTATTTGCCTCCTAGGGTTACTGTCAGGATTCAGAATTAAATGAGATGATTTTTAAAATTACGGGCTCGGTGGCTCAACCTGTAATCCCGCGCCTTTGGGAGGCTGAGGTGAGTGGATTGCCTGAGCCCGTGGGTTCGAGACCCGTCTGGGCCACTTGGCGAGACCTCATCTCTATAATAAGTCAAAAATTAGCCGGGCATGGTAGCACGCACCTGTAGTTCCAGCTACTTGGAAGGCTGAGGCGGAAGGATCGCCGGAGCCTGCAGGTCGAGGCTGCGGTGGCTAGCAGCGGCCACTGCACTCCAGTCTGGGCGACAGAGTGAGACTCCAACCCCAAAAAAAAAAAAAAAAAAATTAAATGAGATGTATAAAAGTACCTATAATTGATAAAACCATAAGCAAATTTAACTTACTAAAATTACTGGAAAAGGATACACAGGGTATCTTTGTATTATTTCTTAAAGTGGCATGTGAATTAACAACTATCTCAAAAAGAATAACTTTAAAGAGTTGTAAGAACATATCTCCAAAAAGGAACAAAGATTGATTTTAAAAGAGAATGCCTCTATGTAAATCTTCAGCATTAGACAACATTCATGTCTAATTACTGTGTCAAAGTATCAACAAAGCAGTAATCGGTGTGGTTTTAAGTTCTTTTTTTCTAAGTACTAGATGGTTGCTAGATAATTAGATCAAGAGAAGCTGGATTGATTTAAATTGGACTTCAGGTGAAGTATGGCCTTAGTGAAGTGGAAGACTAGAGATGGAAGCACCAAGTCCAGATAGTGACATGGAGACAACGGGGATTTATGTTCGAGTTGCCTCAGATTTCATACAATGGACAGACTCTGAAAGTGTTACACGCAAATCACTAGAAATAAGATAAAGGTCCAATCATTAAGTAAAGCCTTTTATTAAAGCTGGCAGTCGAGAGGGGGCTCGTGCCTCCCAGACTCTCAACGACAAATGAAATTTGCAGGGAGTTTTTATAGGCAAAAGCAGTTGGGAAACTGAGTCACTATAGAGATAAACACATGAAACACATGTTCTGGGGTTTGACACATAGTACACTTAGATAAGGGGGAACCATTAAGAGCACTGGGTGTGGTGCAGGGCTGTGAGGGTTGTTTATGAACAAAATTTAAAATTCTTGTATCAGCCTCATAGAAGTTTAATAACAAGTTAACAACATGGAGACAAACCACAAAATGGAGTTTTAAATACAAGCTTAGGTTTATTTAATACACTGCAAACACTTTAAACGTTTTATAAAATACAGCAAAAACACTTTAAATACTTTATTCCCCCCTTTTCTTGTGTATAAGTCAAAGCATTGACTTGCTTGTTAAGGATCAAACCATATGATTTCAACATAGATGGTCAGGACCAAACGGCTGACTGTTATTTTAATTGAAAAATAAATTTGGGATTAGGCATCTTGAATTAATGGGGGGGAGCTGTTGGGATGATGGTGAACCCGTGTCAGGCAGTCTCGCGGGTTTTTAGGCCTTTGTCAGTGATTGTCATTGTAGCCCGGTTTAGCAGGTCTCTGGTCTCTTTAAGCAACCAGTTAGATGGGCCATCTCCTCTTTAGGAGAGGGTGTGCCTGTGTTTAAACAGCTCTTATTGTCTGTCCCATGGACAGAGTTTAGGGGTATGTCTGTTTCTAAATGGCTTATTTGTATGGTGGACAGAGTCTAGGCGTTTTAGGCCTTTAGGGCAACTACGTTGCCACTGTTTTTATAGACACTATCTATAGGCAAAAGACACCACGTTACCGGGTTTTTGTCAGGTGTCTGAAGTTTTTTTTTTAAGTATATGTTATGTTTGCCAGTTGGGTGTTTTATCAGCTTTTTGGTCCTGTTGTCTTCCATGTTAATATTACTCAATATTTTAGTTAAACTTAGATTGAGTATTGTGAATTTTTCAAACACTGCACATATTGTATTAAACATTGTAGAACATCTTGAAATTATAACAGTTTAAGCATTTATGATGAGGAAATTTGATATTTGTAAAATGTAACTGTAAAAGTTAGAAATACTGTTTCTGAATTAAAATCGTATCGCTTTTGTTTTTAATGTCTTAACCTTATCTAGTAGTAAATATTGTAAATACAGCACTGTACATATTTTAAACATTGTGAACTTGTAGATACAGCAAACTTTTTGAAGAAAATTGTAAACATTTAAGTTTTTTATGAGTTAAATCCTGTCTCGGGTATTATGGAACAGGGTTCATAACAGACCCGCGTGTTTAAAATTTTTTACAGTTGATACTTGTTTTTTTTAATAAAGGAAACAGTCTAATTTAGTAGGCAGGGTCTCACTGTTAAAAGGAGGAGGATAATTATTATGGGTCTAGGTAGGCCGGTAATGAGAGCTGTTAACCATCAGTTTTAGTGGAATAGGGATTGGAACTAAGATGTATTTTTATTGTTTAAATTTTTTTGTTGTTTTTGTATGTTGTCTCGAAGTTTTTGAAGGGAGCTTTTAATGTCTCTGGATTTATTAGCGTAGAAACAGCAATTTTTTGGAGAGCCGAACAAAGTCTCTCTTGGGACATGAAGAGCAAATCTAGACCTTTATGATTTTGGAGGACCATCTTTGCCAGAGAATCTACCTGATCTTTGAGTTGATCTGTAGTAGATTGAATAGTCTCTAGGTCTTTATTGATGTGTTATATGAAATTAGTTTGACCTAGTTTTTTCTGAACTAGAGCAGTCGTTTTAATTGCAGCTGCTTCAGTTATATTTATTCCGACTGTGGCGGGTATTAGCAGAGGAACAGCTCGTTTTTGACGAGCGGGTGGAAATTTAGGTGGAGTGAGTAACCAAGTTCCGTCAGGGTTAGTATAAGCAAATACTTGAGGCAACATATAAACATAAATGTGTAACATAGGTTGTTTGACCACTTTTTTAGTAAAAGCACATTTTGTAAGGCCTGTACTGGTAAGCACTGGCTAACCAGGTGTTGTCAGGGGCTGTATAAACCATAGATTCTGTCATGGTTTGGATAAGAGATTGATTATAAATAGCAGATAGCAGGGAAGCGGTTAAATTAAGCCCAGGGGTTATGAGGCAGGAGGCTTTGCCAGTTATGTCCCTTAGAGTAATGAGCATAACTGTCGGAGAGCACTTTTTTAACTCTCCTCAGTGGGAGTTACAGCAGTTAAGCCTATGCTAAAAGCTAAGCCTATGCTAAAAGCTAAGATGCCTAAGGTGAAGGTTAGAGGATGATAACAGCACATCTAAGGAATTATTGCCCGAGGCAAACAGTCTGCTTTGGGACAGTTAAGCACCTCACGGTTTAGCTGGGCGTAGGTGGTCAGTCCGTGCTGAAGCAGAACAAAAAGTGCAGCGGGGCTTTGGGGCGGCTGGTTTAGTGGCTGTTAAGTGTGGGGGTGCTGAAAGGTGACCTTGAGAGGATTTTTAGGCTCTCTGGCTGTCGTCTAGTCAGTCGGGCAGCTTGGAGGAGCACCATCGGTTTTTCAGTCCTTTTCTGCCCCCGAG